GAAGTTTGTATTCCTCTATTATGGAATGGAGAAGTCAGTCTTTCCATGTTGTCTTAGAACCATAATAAACAGCTTTCTGCATATGAATGTTCCCTTTATCTCTCCCCGTGGTGTTTTTAGAGTTCACTGTGAAATAAAAGCTGTTCTGCAGTGACCGTGAGGCACACTGGAGTTTAGTGAGTTGGTGATTTGTTACCCTGGCTGGGTACTCTGCACATTTTCTGCATAGGCTTCCTGCTGCAATGCAGGTTTCTGCTAAGCAGTAAAAACCCTTGCTAAGTTTTGCTTTTGCAAAAAACCAAGTCAAAATAATAAGCCAACTTCTGTAGTAGAGGAGAAAAGGCTTGATAAGTATGGTATGACTTGGACAACATAGAAAAACACCCCAAATGCTGGGTTAAGTTTGTTTGAGAATTAGGGTTGATGGTGCTTATTACTGATGGAATCAATTTTTCATGACCAAATGCACATCACTTGTTTAAAGGACATGTTCCTGTGATGCTGTGCTCTTTCCTGAGCCTGTTATACTTATTATTCCTGTGCCTCCCATGGAGAGGAACTTCAGGTAGATGATTTCAGGAAGAACTATTAAAGGATTGCTGTCTTGCCTTATCTTTACAGCTACTACAGCTTTGTGTAGCATTTGAGGATGTGGATGGGAAGTAAGCAAGTTCTGAGGAACAGGAGATTATGTGCTAACAGTGTATCTGTTGGGTCTACAGGTTAATCCTGGGAAGTGTTTTGTGTGTCACAAAGTCCTGTTGTTAAATCTTTGAAACAGACTTTGTGCCAAGACCTGCTTTCAGTCCCAGTGTCTTTGCTATTCTCATGTACACTGGCAAAGCTCAGTGTTCCTAGAATGAGGAAAAGCCAAAAGGTTTTTTTTTAATCATCATATGGGCAGATGTCTTGGGTGTTTTTAGAGGTGGGAATTGTTCTGATGCTTGGTTTGCCTTTGTGCATTCTTGGTTTTACTGTGCTGTTGTAGGGAGGTGAGCACAATCAGCCTTTATTTCAATGGCACTCTTAAAAATGTAGTTGGGCCTGAGGATTCCATGACTTTCATCTAACTGAAGAAAGCAGACAGACTCTCAGTTGGAAAGAAAGGATGGAACTCACTGATGTCAGTGCTAAACACAAGTGGAAACAGACTCTTAAGTGGATCATCCAAGGTAAGACCCATCAAACCTGGCAGCAAACTGCTTCACAAACAGGGAGGTGATATTCCATCATCCTGCCCTACATAGTAGAGGACATGTGGGAAAACAGATTGCACAACTGGGTTGCAAAGAAGCTTCAGGACTAACAAATTGGTTTGGAAATCTCATACAAATGTATAAACATAAGTGTGTGGGTCCTGTGGTTTAAAGCAAGGGCACAAATGATGGGTCTTGCTAAGTACTATGTAATAAGAAATGACTTAGAGGGGATGTAGTGCTTCTAAAAGCATATTCTCAGTTCCTGAGCAAGTCAAAGCTCTCAGGAGAGCTGGGGCAGCCGAGGGCCAAGGGTTATAAACCCAGGCTTGCACTCTTGTTCCCTGCAGTCTGGTTGGCACAGGAAACAAGGGTGTTTATGGCATAATGGTATAATGTTACAATACTGATTTTATTCAGGAGTGTCTTACACTGTCAGCATTTGAAACACTTAGAATTCTTTGGAGAAAATACACTTTTGAATAGAAATAATTGAGTTTTCTCGAGCTTCTGGCATTCAGCTGTGTTTGTTTTAATTTCTCATACAAGTATGACGTGGTTATTCAAGAACAGTAGAGGTCACATGAGGAACTGATTACCTTTGCTTGTAATTAATCTACTTAACTATCATTCAGGTGATACATTTTGCAGTTAGTTTAAGAAATTATATTGCTACCTGTTCCTTACAGGCAGTTTCACAGTTACAAAGCAGTTTCAGTCCAAAAAGCAGCAGCTTTGATCTTTGGTTTAAATGTGTCAGTCTCTGGGGTCCAATTAGGAAGGAATGGAAATGGTTCTTCTCCTTTCCTGGTGGCCTGGGCTTCGCATTTGTTGGCAGATAGAACTGCAAAAACTATTAATTACTACACAGTGCAAAGACACCTTTTAGGCCTTAACATTTACAATCTGTTTTCTTTTTGTGTGTGTATACAATGATTTCACTAGGTTAGGTAAGGTGCAGGGAAATTAATAAAATATATCCCAGTAATGATGCTGTGTAGCTCCCCTGCTCACAAAATGTATCTGCCTTGATTTCACTTCTGTAACTTCAATCAGAATTGATTTTTGCCTTTGTGTGTTTCTGTCTTGTGATGCTGAAATTAAGATAAGAAATGTTGAGGCCCTGGGTCAGCAGAAGATGTTGATAAAGGGGCTCTGTTTGGGAGATATTTGGTACTCATTATCTTCTCTGCAATCAATAGGAATCCTCTGATGTAGGAGGACATCAATAGCTGGGAAGAATTTGACATGTAAAAAAGTGCATGGTTTTAGGAAAATCTGAATTTGCTTTCCAGTTCTCGTGCTGATAGGGCATTTAACTTTTCTGTCACCATGTTGCACTTAGATTTCAAGGGCTGCATTTGGATTTTGTAACTCTGATTTATGATGAAGAATTAGAAATTAAATAGAAATTAGAGTTTTAAATGACTGATGTTATTTGTTTTGTTTTCATTGAGATTATTCACATTGTGCTCCTAAGCCGTAGTAAGATCCATGATCTTGAGATTTTCAGGAAAGAATATATTTTTCTAAGTGTAGATATAGTAGAATATGGTATATAATTCCTCCAATTTTAGGCAAAAATTACTGTGCTAGATAGTTAAAGAAAGCAGAGGAATACAGAAGGTACTTAGGATCTTGAAGGAAGTTTAGAAGCAATTACATGTGGTTTTGTTGAATTTCTTCCTTTTAGCTTTATCTATTATAAAAACTCCAAACAAGATTGTTCAGAATTCCAATAGATAGGGACAAACCCCCTGGCCTCAGAGGTGGTTTTGTAGGATTTTTCCTCCTTCTTCAATAGGCTCAGAATTTAATTTGCTAACAGTATTAATGATTGGAAGGAATATTTGGTATTCCCCTTGGGTCAGATGAGCCTTCTGGAATGTTTTGTGAATACAGTTTTCTGTACATGAAACATTTGTTAATCTTGCTGTGTTCATTTCCAGTGGTGGTCAACTCCAAGTGGAAGAACAAAATCTAATCCTTTAGGTCCCTCTGTTTTCAGTGGCAGCAATACGGGGGTGTGGTAACCCTGATCTCCTTACTCCATGCAAACTTTTGTCTGTTTGACAGGTGGAAGTTTGGGCACTGAGAGTTATTAATGTTCTCAAATATTCATTCAGCACCTGTGGCAAGGGCTGCCCTGCTCTGTGTTTCATTTCACAGCAGCTGTGGTCCTGAGTCACAGGGAGAAGCTCACACGTAGTGTTTGCCTCCAGTGCCGTGCCCACTTCCACAGGCACTGGGGAGGGATGCAGAACATCCTGTTACTTTGCTGTTTTGTGAAATGGTGATTAAATCTGAGCTCTTTAGCAAATAACAAAGTGATTCATAACGCTGCACAGAGCACATATTGAATTTGGAGACTAGTAAAAATAGTAGGGATGGCTGCTTCGAGCAACTATCAAATTTCTGACTCAAAAATTAAACGACAATTTCTTTCTTGTTTTTGGATTATAGAAAGAATGAATTTAGCTTTAAGGGATAGGAAGGCAACAGAACCTGGAGACATGAATTCTTTATGCACTTCTATAGTTTTCCATTAAATGAAACCATTTTTCAAATAGAAAATTTCTTAGCTTTTAAAATATTTCTAATTTTTTTTTGTGAACAGAGATGATTTATCAAACAGATAAAGGATATTAGGCAACCTCCTTTCTTCTGTGCTCACTGTAGAGCTAGTGATGCAATATTTCAGATGTTTCATGATACAGACTGTCTTGCTGATGTAGTTCATATGGTTAATTCCATTTAGCAAGAGTTAGGTTAGCCTTGAATGTAGTAGATTTCAAAGCAATATGTTTGAATGGTTTTCGGTCCCTAGCAACTGACTGGCTTGTCATCCTAAAAATTTAAATTAGGTTCTCCAGGAGTACTTGAGAAAACAAATTGTTTTGTAATTGAGGTTTAGGGTTGGAAAGGAAAGGTTGGAGAGGGAGAAACAATCTTATTCTGGAAAAGCACATTATCCTAAATGCTGTTTGTTGAGCAAGAGGGAGATTGAGGGTCCTACGAAAAACAGAAATTGTGTTTGCCTGTACTTCAACACCCGAAAGAGTAAACAAATAGCTCCTGCTCCTCTCATCCAGATGCAGAGAAAGAGAACATAGATGTAGCCCAAATTCCAGTTTTCCGTTGAGATGCTCCTGACTCTTAAAGGAAGATGAATACAAACTCAGAGTCAGTCTGGTGGATGTGGTGGGTTGTTGGATACTATCAGTGGATAACTTGTCCCCTCTGATATTTCTTCTCTTTAATTTTACCTTTATGTTCTGAAAAATAGGAAAGATTTTTTTATTTTCTGAATAAAAAGCCCTTAGAATAAAAACTCCATTAGAATTAATTACATGCTTAGTAATATAAGATACTGTTTTAGAAGTTATAAAATTTTAAAGTGTGTTTTCCCTTTCTCTTCCTCCTTTTTTTCCCCCTATACTTGTTGGTTTTGTGTTTCTTTTTTTTTTTTCAAGTGCCCACTTGTTTTGAATCTCAAGTTATGCTTTGTTGAAGTGCTTAAACAGTACATTTCAGACCATTCTGATCACTGAAAGCTTTATTTTTTATTACATTTTTATCATTCTTAGGTGAAAGTAAGTGGTCTTGGTTTGTATATACAATGATTATTGACTTCAGGGGCAGGTGCCTGTTCTTAAGCTATCACCTGGCTTTAAATAAGATGAACATTGACATCCTTGCTGTGTGGTGTCAAGGACATTTTAAACAGCTTCTCTTTGTTTCTGTGGTTTCCCTGGCTCTGACTCTGTTGTTTTGATTATTTGTCAGTAATGTCAAAAGTGTCTCAAAAGTGCAAATTCAGGTCCCAACTCTGTACTGTGTTGCAGTATTTTATGCTTCTGGTTTATTATTTGTCACTAAATGCCTGTGAATCATATTTACTATTGCATGCCACTGGGAAGGTTACACTGAAGCAGAATAATTTGAATACTGATTTTAGAAGTCTGACTCTTAATATCTCAGATCACCTCTTTGAACATTCTCCCAGTGGATAGTTTTGCATTACATGTTGTTTTCTTAAAATGTTTAGGAGGAGTTGTTATAGAAATAGTGCAACTTTTTCCCATATCTTCTTCACTTTAAGAGAAATTTGTCTGCAATATTTTCAGAGTTATATTTATGTTTATTAATGCTTAAGGATTCATAGGCCAGGGCACTGGCCTTCCATCAAGTTTGTTGTTTTCAAGATCTAACCCCTTGCTGGGGATTGGCAACTCGGGATTTCAGATTTAATTGTGTTTGTCATGCTGTGCCCTGTGTTAACAGGCAGCTTTTGATATTGATCAAGTCAGGGATTGAAGTCGATGAAGTTGTGAAGTTTGAGTCAATTCTCTGCCAGCATTCAGAATTTCAGGAGGAAGCCCACGAGTGGCTGGTTAACAAATGCTTGTGAGTTGTGTTTTTGCACCAAATATGTCTGGGAAACCCAGTGTTGGTGAAGCACATTTCCCTAGGAACCGAAGATGAAGGAATGGATGTGTAGCTGAGAAGTACATTAATGAATTACTGACAAATATTTATGCATTGTTGGCTTCTGACCTGCAGCCTGACTTGGGCATGTGTTGGGTTTCCATTTGTAACAACACTGTAATTATCAGACAGAGAGCAGAGCATGGTAATAGTCCTCATGGGTACTTCCAGTAATAAATATAATTGAGTTCACTGAATAACAGTCCTAAATGTGCATTGATTTCTGAAAAGAGAAAGAAATAGCAAAATGATTTCCAATTAAATATTTATTTTATTAGTGCAGGAGTTCAGGAGGAATCTTAAAATTTACCACTATGCTTTGAAGCAATCTACTGGGGGAAATTGTAATTTTAAAAATTGCACCATGAGTTAAATTTATACCAACTCAAAATACCAAACTGTTTTAACGAGCTGTGTGCTGTATAAATGAATAGATTAAAGCTGTGTTTGTGTCAGAACCTGAAGGTGCTACCACTGTGGAGTTCTACTCCAGCAGCTTTCACACATCACATGGCAGCTGTGGAAGATGCATTGCTATTAAATCTGCAAGGCTATCAAAGAAAGGGCCTCTGAGGTGTCTGATCTGTTTAATCTGATAATTAAATGGTAATTATGCAGTTCAGCCATTCTAGTGTAAGAGTTTGTTTAAGGCAATGTTGGAAATTAAGATCTTATGTAGAGTAGAGACTTTTTGGGGGGTATACTGTACTTTTTTGATTGCTAAAATTGGGTGTATCAATAAAAATGTTCATGGATCTAGAATAAGAATGACCACTGAAAGAAATACCAACAAAAGGATGATAGAAAATTTAATTTAATAATTCCATCCTTTAAAGCATCCTGTTGCTTTAAATTGGAAATGATTTTTTAACTAAATCAAAAGCCTACTGTGGAGTTCCATACCAAGAGAAACATGTGACAAATCTTTCCTGCATAAATATTGGAACTAGGAGATCTAGTGTGCAAGGACTGAAAGCTCGCCTCACTGAAAAATATTTCATAACCTTGATACTAAGTTTATGCTGTGTAAAAATTGATATATTCAAGAATACACCCTATTTCCCCTCCTGCCATACGAGAACGTTTCCCTCTATAGAGAATTCTGTCTTCCAGATGCAGTATTTTAATTGAATAATTTTGTTAGCCCAAGTTTTCCGTATTATTTTCTAACACTGACATTTTATCATCTAGAGATATATGTATGTAGTCACTGAAGACCAATTCAGCATTGGAATGGTTGCACTGTGAGCTTCACTATTGACTTCATAGCATGAGTTTTTCTGGTTCTGATTTTGCAAGTTGAAAACATTTGGAGGAACTCGAAAATCTCACTTATATTTTTGGTAGCTAATATTTTACCTAAGGGGAACAGCTCTTTCCAACTTATGCAGTGATTATTTCTAATCCTGGAATAGTGCCTTCTGATGTCTTAGCATTTGGAAGTACAAGTGATACTTGATATAAATTATTCAGTGTTCTTGAAATATCATTTATAACATAATACAGTATAGCCTTACTGGTGGCTGCAAGGCATACTCGGCCTATGGGCTTATTTTGTGCAGACCTGGACTAAAAGGACTGAGGAGACCAATGAAACAGCAAATGAGATGGGAAGAGGTGCTTCCTTGCAGCAGTTCTTTGTTTCATGCTTATTCTATCCTTTGAACATTCACCTTTCACTCTTCTTAAAACAGTGACCTCTTCCTGAGCTGGGTGGTTGAGTCTGAGCTGTGCACCTTACCTTGCAAAGGAGAAGGTTCAAAACTTCACTGGGAGAAACAAATGTTCTTAGTGGATTTGTTGAGTTGATCACATGCTTTATTTAGATTTGCAATCAAATGCATTTCAGCTCTTCACATGTACTTGCTTCTGAAGGTCTCACAGTGCATGCACAGAAAGAGGTGTTTGGCCCATTTTCTGTCTCCAAGGGGTTCTGCAGTAGTTTAATTTCAATGGTATGCAAAAGCAACACTGGTTCTCTCACATGTCTTCAGCAAATCCCAGAAGTCAGTGACATTATCTAAAGCTCTTGCCTTTTACAGAATAGTGTTCTGCTTTGAAGAAAGGAACCCCTGTAAGTTATTGATTACTGCTTGTGCCATTTCTGAAGTGGTTATGAATTAAAACTTAAGCAATGGACTTTGATGTCTGATAAAATCAATCTGGCATGAGGAACCTGAGTTAACATTCAGCATTTGCTCTTCTAATGCATTTATAGGCTTAAAAATCTAATGGCATTGCATAGGTAGCCCTTAGACTTTTGACTGGAATACAATTATCCCAGCCCTTAGATTGGGATACAATTTAGGGATCACAACCATCAGAGATCTTTTGATAGCTGGGCTTGATGTATTTTGCTGATGGGATAGTACTGACTAGTGCATGTATATTGAATTGTCCTGTTATCATTAGTGGATTCTGCAGAGAAAGACAAAGTCCACAAATACAAATCATAAATATGTCAATAGAATGTAAGTGAGGCTCATTTAACCTTGTTTAATAGAGAAGAATCACTTATAAAGTGCTATGGGATATTTAATTTATGGTTTGGTACTTTGTTTTTCTTGGAAGAGGCTGCTCTTTGGAAGCATAAACCCATTTTCTGCCATAAAAATGTTTAAAGCTAATAGTTGGACATCATCCTTTGCTAATGCTCAAGTGACAGAGTATAGCAGACAGGGCTTTGCTGGTGTCTTCTTGAACAGCATGCAGCATGATTAACTGGACATAGGACAACACACAAACAGAAACCTGGAGGATTTTCTGTCCTTGCTTCCCTCACCATCCCTATCTCAATTTTTTGTGGTAATCACAAGTGCCCTGGCTTAGCCAAAGTTCATTTGGTTACACACCCCATCCACTAATGTCTCCTGAAAGCAGACAACAGAGGTGTCTCTCCCTAGCAGAAGAGAAGATAGCTTTTGTAGATCCATTGCCTTTCCTCCCTCCTGCTAAGTGTTTTCTTCTGGACCAGGGTGAGTCCCTGGGAACCATGTAGGTGTTCTTCTCATTTGCTCAGATTCGTCAGGGATATGACACAAAATGACATTTTGCTGTCTGTGGCTTAGCAGAAGCTTCCTTTAGCTTTTTATTTAGCTGTTTACCCTAATAGTGTTTTAAGTGGTGTTTTTAATTTGGCATACCTGAACAATCAATATCATTAAAATGCATTTTATGGAGAAGCTATTGAGTGATTTATTCAGAAGATGCAGAGCATGGACAGGAGATAATTGTCCCTTGCCTGTATAAAACACATTCTAAGCACCAAGTCTAATGACAATAAAAAAATCCCAGAATTTGCAGTTGTAGCTATTAATCTTTCTTAATGAATATAGGGGTTTTATACCTTAGTTATGCAAAAACTATACTTTCAGATGGGAGGATTCTGAATTATTCATGTTTCAGTCATGCATCAACACATATGTGTCCCTTGAGATACCAGTGCTGTGTATTCTGCTGTTTGTTGTTTTTGGGTTGGTTTTGTCAATATTTTGTGGGGAGACTGGCAATTAGTAAACTAGTGTAACAGAAAACTGCTCTCATAATGCCAGACATGGAAAAGATAAGTAATTTGACCCACTGGAGAGGATTATGTTTAAAATGTATTTGGATTTTATTTTTTTCCACTTATTTTTTTATCTCCCTGCTAATTTCATTCTTGTTATCTTTTAAATAAAATCAGCAGTAATAGAATTACAGATACATTGAAATCCATCTCTGCAGACTGTGCATGATGGCTGTTGCTATGCAAAAATGATGTGGTCTCATACTGAGAAGATTCCAAAGATTCTTGGTGGTACATTGTGCTTAAAAAGCACTTTTCCCAATGATGACTCCTTCAAAGGTTAGCTTTTATTTATTAGACTATGGGCTCTCCCCCAAACATTGCAAAGTACTCTATAAATAGGGCACAGAAATACAAATACCTTTAAATAGTTTGCATGCATAATGATTCCTAGCAATCCAACGATAACCTGGATTTCTGTGTGTATTTGTAGAGCACAGCTGTTCTGACTGGAAATGCTGTCTGCCCTGGAGCTCTCCCTCTATTTTGTGGCCCACCAAGGAATTGTTATTGGGGGACATACAACATTATTTAGGGTAATTAGTTAGGCAGTAGTGACTTTTGGGTTTCTTCCAGCAGTGACACATCATCTGAATGCTGGTTTCAGGGACAAACTGCGCTGGTAACATGGATTAAATTAAACAGGGATCAAAGTGGTTCACTGATTTATTGATGGCAAGTAATTAGCTGGCAATCAGTAAGTTGTGCATTAAGGATCAACGCCAGCAGTGCAATGGATAAGCCACAACATTAAGACACTTGAAAAATATCTATTTGCTACATCAAACTCCCTTGTACAACTAACCCTAACCTCCCCAAGGTTATATGTGCACCCCCATCCCTTCATTACAGAAATAAAGTTTGGAGCCTTCCTTGGCCATGTGCTGGATGTGTTGCCCCCCCTCCAGTGGTGACAGATGTGAGGGTTCTGTGTGTCCTCCATGGCACATCCTGGGCACTCCCTGAGGTCCCTGTGTGTTCTGGGTCCCTGGTGGTGTCCCACGGCTTGGAGTGCTGGCTGCACATGGAGCCAGGTGAGGAGGCTGCCCAGCAGCTCCTGGGCAGGGCTGTAGTGCTGCTGGGGGGACTCCAGGACTTAGTGCCAGGCACCCTTGGATTGCAGCTATTCCCATGCTGTTTCCTGCTGTTGTTACAAATGCTTATGTTTCTTTGTTTCAAAAGTTTCTTCCTTCTTCCCCTCGTTTCATCCTCTTTAGCACAGTCAGTTTTGGGCACACAGTTTATTTCTGTCTTCTCATCATTCCTGTAGGGATTACTTGTATCCTGACATTTTGTTCTCATAGACAGGGAATGCTGGATGTTCACCCCCTTTCAAGTAAGGGTTTCAAAGACAGATGGATGTTTCTTATTCTCTCTGTTATGAATTCATCAAGGCAGGGCAAAATTTACAGAGCTGATTGGGCCCTGCAGGGATTGTTATGTTTTGCATTTTGTATCATTCTCTCTGAAGTCACAGAATCAGGCAGTAGCAGAGGTGGAAAAGGTACCCCAGAGATCAGACTGCCAAATCCTGGCCTAAGTGCTAGAGACATCTTTGCCTTCTTGTCCTGGAATTCCTGCCTGCTCCAGCCTGTTCAAGCTTTTCTGAAGTTCAAGATAAGTATTTAAGTTATGATGATAATTGATATTATATCAGTTTCTTATTTGCACTAAAGTCTCCAAGCATTTCTTTTCCTTTCAAGAAATATCTTGAAGTTTAATAGGTTTCATGTGGATATCCATATGATGAGGGACCTGCAAAAATCTGATTGTAGAAAGAGGATTGTTCCTGGGATTTGATTCTTTGTATTGAGGAGTAAGAACTACAGCCTTCAGCATTTCTGGAAACCTTGGAAGGTGTAAGCCTTGGCTTAGCTAAAGAGCTGAGTAATTCACTCAGAAAACAGTGAACAGTCTGCAGAGTGGTTTTTTTTTTTTTCCTCTGAGCTCTGCCAATGTATGTTATGGAAAAATGGCTAAATGAGGAAACTCATGAAAACATTTCCTCAATTCACACCTCCCACTCAACTGACAGTTCAAAAACTGAGTCAGAAGGGCTAAGAATTGCTCAAAAGTACTGTTGGAATTTGGCAAGCACTTTGGAGCTAGGATTTTATCTCTGATTTGTAGTAAGATAGCTACTGCTGTACCAGCTGCCATAAGTTTTGACCAGTGAAAGTCCTTCACTGAAGAGTAATGGTTCCAATTCAATTGTTTTTTTCTTGCCTCTTATTCAGATTTTTGATATTGGGAATCCTTAGAGACTCTGTTTTGTCAGGAGAATAGCAAACTGCTGTTGTGTTAAATTCAGCTTCCTCTACTCGCTCCATATTTTATTAGATTGTGCTTGACTGCATTGTCCATGGCTGCAGTCATCTAAAGAATTGAAATACTGCTGGATTGCCCATGTAATGGTAAAACAAAGTGTTGGTACTGTGAGCACCAGGAGGCAATTTTACTTCAGCATTCAGGTGTTTGACGCCTAACACACCATTCCCTAGGACAGCCACTGTGGGGTTAGGAGGATCAAGTCCTGCTTCACCAGCCTGATCTCCTTCTACAGCAACACAGCCTCTTAGTGCATGAGGAAAAGGCTGGGGGGTCTGTACCTGGGCTTTAGTAAAGTGCCTTTAGTAAAGACACCATCTCCCACAGCATTCTCCTGGAGAAACTGGCTGCTCATGGCTTGGGCTGGTGCAGTTTGCTGGGTGAAAGCCTGTCTGATACCCAGTCCCAGGGAGTGGTGCTGACTGGATTTACACCCAGCTGGGGCTGTCACCAGTGGTGCTTCCCAGGGCCCAGCACTGGCACAGCCCTGTTTAATTAACATCTCTACTGATCATCTGCACAAGGGCATCAAGAGCACTCTCAGGAAGTTCATGGACAGCATCAAAGTGGGCAGGAGTGTGGATCTGCTGGAGGGCAGGAAGGATCTGCAGGGGAGTCTGGACAGGCTGGATCAAAGGGCTGAGACCAACTTGTGAGGTTCATATGGTGATCATGAGATTTAGGTATAGTGGGGGGAAGAAAGAGCACCTTCTTCCTACTTTGGTTATAATTTTTTTGGCTTCTTTATTAATAAGGTTTGCTGGATGATATTCTTAGAATATCAGACTGGGTGGAAGGGGAGAGCTTGAGAGAAATGGTTGTTTCAGAATAAGCAGCATTATACATATTACTTATTTACATTTCTTTATTTGAATTTTTAAAATTTAGTTACCATTTTACAAAAATGGAACTGCCTCTGCATGTGCTAGAGCTTGAATTGTAACTGTTTTGTGGTTGAAATCTGAATTTATTTTCAGCCCAGTTGTGTTAGCCATCTCCAGGATGATTTTAGACTGCAAGTTGCTAAATCTTATAAAGGTCTATATGTGACTCTCCAATAGGAGTAGAAAAAAAAAAAGTTTCTAGGGACTTGGTGTGTGCAGAAGCATTTTCAGCAGCAAAATCGATACTACACTGTACAAGAGCAGGATGAGTTTTGTACTTGTGTAGAAATTTTACTCTGGTCTTTTGTGACTTTTTATTTTCTTTAAAGTGTAAAATAGAATCTGCTCTGAGCATACATGGGTGTTCTTTTTGTTTGGTTAAACAGAACTGGTATAATATAAGTGTGGAATATTAATTCTAATCTCACTATAAACTTCTAAACTCTTACTCTGTATTACACTTTTATGTCAGGTTTTTGGGAAAGGAATGACCACAAAAATACAGTGGCTCTAAACACACTGGAATATCCAGTATTTATGTGGAAATTTTAATGAGGCTTTCAAAAAAACTCTACCTCTAAGGTGAGTATTTAATATACTTTAGCAAGTTTTGTGTTGCAGTAGATTATAGTGGCATGACTGGTGTTACTAAGTGCATCTGTTTTGCTCATAAACAGATATAAATACAAATTATTTTTGTTGTTGACATTAATATTTATGTTTCAGGGTCTGCATATGAAGTAGGGATTCTGCTGGAAAATGAAGTCTGTTCCAGGCTGCTTATTATACATATGAAGCTTTGTACCAGTTGTTTTATTCCAGTTATTTTAAAAATAGAAATCAAACAGATTTCTTTTTTCCCTAATATGCATATTGGATCTGATACAAGGACTTTTAGACTGCAGACAACTAAAGAACATAAGACACCTTTTATTTCATTATTTTAACTTGGAAACTTAAGTGCCTTACTTCTTTACAAAAGCAATCCCTCAAGGATGTATAGGCAGTGCTGTGAGGTGAACATTTAATCCAGATGTTTCTAAAGTGCTCTAAAAATGCCATCAACTCTTGTTGAGAAGTTTGTACATGTTTTTCTTTTCTTTCTGTCAAACCAAAAAATCTTCTGGTTATCTCAGCAGGAGAATGCTATGTACAAGGGCTACAGGAAAATAATATGCATTTTCTTGAGTTTACTCAAGCTACAATAACATGAAATATCAGCACATTACACCAGAAATGTAACATAGGAGGTGTTTATGAATCCAGCATAGGGAAGGATTTTACCTTTCCTTTAAACCACCAAAAGTGGGAGATGCTTTTTTTTTTTTTTTTTTAATGTACACAACATTTTTTGGTTTGTTTTGTTTTTGTCCAGATTTCCAATCTATACCCAAGGCACCCAAATTCTCCAACTGCATAAACCAATGCTTGACTTTCTCTGAATGTCTCTCTTGACTTCAGTGACCCAGGTTCAAATCCAGTTAAGTTCTTGGAGGCTAATGAACCTGGATGATGTCTTTGTGTAGTGGTTTTGGTTTGCCAATTTCAGATTTAGGATTAGGTGAGATAGGATTTAGGTGAGATAGGATTAGGAGAAAGGTTTTTGTGGCTCTGGAGCTGCTGGCAGGACATTTCCATGCTGCTGAATCTTCAAACAGCCTTGGCTGTGTCTGCTGCTGTCCAACGTGCTGCAAATGCTTGACTCAGCAGCAAACAGGGCTGTGTTCTGCAGCTGCCAGCTTTGATCCATCCTTTCTCTGGATAGCTGCCTGAGGTGTCATTTTGCTGGTCTCAGTTGCATCAAATCATGTTGCCTGCACATTGCTGCTGAGAATTTGGGTGTGGGAGATCCTGGAACAAACCTGGCATTTCTATACCTTGGAAATAATGGAGGAGGGTATGGCAGCCACCAGCTGGAACAGCTAGAAGCAGCAGCCAGAGCTCTGTGCCATGTTTTGGTTAGCTGGGAGTAGGTGAAGGAAGAAAACTCTGCTGCTGCTAGGATAAGTCTGACAGCTCCTTCCTCCTGTTTCATCCTTGCTGGCTACAGATGTCGAATTTGTCAAGGCAGTTGCAGTTTGGGGGGGATTCACTGGTTTTAGATGCAATCTCTGGGTGGACGTGGAGAAACTCAAATCCCAGAACTAGGCAGCTCTTGTGTCAGCTGGTCACATGAGTACCCAGGAACTGCAGTTTTCCTGTGTGAGGGAAAGAAAGGAACTGAAAGAAGGTCTGTAAGAATGAACAGTTATCAATGCAAGGCTGGAAAAAGGTTTATCCAAGCACATACTGGTTGATAGTGCTTGTTTATTACCCCATGTCCAGCTCTAATGGAGGCAGTAGTTCAAAATTTCTTGTTCAGCCCATTTGACCAGGAGATTGAGTAATTTTGACACCTTTATTTATGTGGTATTGCAAAAAGTATGTAGGCAGCAAGAGTGTGTAAAAACTCGTGCCCTCCAAATCCTGGAAATACTGATAAAGTTGTAACCTTGCCCAAATACATCAGAATCCTCAAATTTTAATTCATCTGCCACAGAGTTTTGATCAGGTGCAGAAGTTAGCATGCATGTCTTAGTGGCAGTAACCATGTTGTGTGAAAAGGGATTGTCAAAAGACATATTATTTACGAGGACATGAGCTGTTCTGGCAGAATGAATCCTGTTAGCATCATATGAATATATCCTTAGTGTAGCCCATGTTAATACTTTTTTAGGTCTGGCAGAAAGGGCTGTATGCTTCAAAAGCACCATCATGTAGCATCATAAGACTGCCACAAACAGCATTTCATTAGTAAGGAAGTGGCAAATTCATCTTGCTTGAATTTCGTGTCAGGATGAAACATTACAGGTAAAACTGACAGATTAATAAGTTCCTAGTAGGGAGCTTTATGAGGGAAAATTCCCAAGTAGGTGTTTCTGTTCAGAAAGAGACTGCATGGAAAATTGGCTTCAATCAAGAATTGGTTCTTGGTCATCAAAAATGCAAAAATCCCTCCTGTGTCTGCCCTTAGTTCTGCTAGCAGAATGAAAATGAAGGAAATTCCCACAGCTAATAAATGACACATAGCTATTAGACATCACACTTATTTTTATGTCTGTTTACAAATCTGTCAAGAAGTTGCTTAAACACACTTTTTAGTGAAATAATGTTATTTTAAAGTCCTGTCTGGTTGAGTTTGAAGTCTGGTAGACCTTGGGTATCTGTTACCCAGAGCAGTTAACACAGGTAGATTGTTACACCTGGAATGTCATGGCTGAAGGATTCCAGAGCATCTCTGGGGCATTCCCACATTACTCTCCATGTAACATTACAGGTTTTTTAGAGAAATCTCAGAATATCTTTTTTTTTTTCTTTCCTCTTCTATGTATTTTTCATATACTGAAAACCTACTGAGAATAATTAGCAAATAAACCTCTGAAAAATTATCTAATTAATGGGAAATTGGACTCATGCAGCTTGGCTTTAGAGTTGAAGGGAACATATGTGTCTGTGTGCACAATGGCCCTGTGTTCTTTCCTTAAAGGATTTCAGGGATGTAAAGTGATAGGTTGGGAAGACTCTAAATATTTTCAGAATTAACCTATAATCTACTAAAATAATGAGAGAGTGTTACATATAACAATTTGGGTAATCTTGGCCAGTTTAAAGGAGATATTTGACTTGGGGAAAATTGCCAGTTTCTGTGTGGTAGTTTACAGAATCAGGACTTCCACTTGATATTTATGGTGATGTTCCTCAGGATCCTTTCTTTAATGCTTATTATGAGTAAATGACTTTTTTTTGACATCGTATAGAAGAACAGCAAATTTTGCACCATCTTATGTGGCAAAAATTGCTATGCTCATAAGCTTCATATTTTCTATTAAAATTAATAGGAAAAAAAGATAGTATTATGTTTCAAGATTGTATTAGTTTGCTTAATAAAGATCTTTGTTTCAGTGCTAATAACTGATGTGTTCATATAGATTAAGAGTCCTGGGAGAGTAAAGAAATCTGCAGCTCCAGCCCTGCACGTGTTTCCTTTTGTGACTCGCACGTTTGGGGTGGGTGCGGATTTTCAAATGCAAATGAGAGAATCCTCATTAGAGGGAAGCCGGGCGTTGCAATTCGGTTTTAGAACAACCCCTTGGCCTTTTCCCCTCAATCCAAACCTCACCGTGGCACAGTCTGATGCAGAGGCACATCCTCTCTATCCCAGAAGGAGCGAGTGTTGATTGAACACATTTGCTGAATGTCCCTTGAGCACTGCAGCTCTGTTCAGAGCACTTGCCTTTGCTCTGGAGGGAGCTGATTAACTATTTAAATGCTACAGCAGCCACCAAAAGTGGGCCTGAAAGAAAAATGAGAAGATGAAATATCTATCTGCCTTTCTATAAATAAAATGCAGGGAATGATTAAAGATGAGTCTGACCTTATTTAATGCATTCCCTTACAGGTCTTTACCACGCTGCTGTGTATTTGCCAACAAAAATATCCTGCTCCCCAGGGTCATCTGATTCTGCAATATATGTATATAAGTAATAAAAAGTATAAATATGTGTTATCAGACCTCAGTAGAAGCTCCATACTTTCTGCTTGGAAAGGAGGGGACAGGATAGAAAGCTCACACAAGAGGCTGGTTTCTGTTGTGGGTGGTTTTTATTTTTATTTCTATAATACCTACTGCCTTGAATGTCTTCTAGGCCTCTGCTGTGAAAAACGGATTTTTTTTGAAGGGCTGGCTCTTCTTTTTTCTCTTTGTTTTCATATCTATTCTTAAATTATTTTAATCAAACAGAAAACTAGAACTATTTATTTTGCTTCTAGGTTTGTCTCAAATACTTTTATGAATGTAGAATTAAAAATAATGGAATCACTGTTAACAGGTTTGCAAGTACATGCTTTGAAACTCACCTAGAGACACATGGGAGTGTTATTATCCTAAAAAAAAGCTGTTCAATGTTTATGATTAATACCCAAAAGGAATTAAAAAAAAAGATCCAAACCTGTTAATTGGAAATCTCCACAAAATATTCACTTTAGAATATTGAGACATTTGAAAAAAATTGACACACCTTAAGTTTTTTAGTTGTAAATAAGTTATTGTGAAAGTCTTGCTTTCTGATAGACCTGAATTTTTAAGGAGTGAAAATTAGTTGAAACTGCTTGTCTGTGCTCAAGATACAGAACTCCTTACTATGCTGTTTCTCGTAAAAATATTAACATTTTTTCTGGCTTGCACTGTTGAAATTCTTCAATGTTCAGTGAATAACAGCATGACTGATCTGTGTAATATTTCTTCCTCTAATAAAACTAAGAGGAATCCTGCCTACATTCCACAAACAATAGCTGCATGAGATATATTCAAGATTTATGTTCATTTATACAATATTTAAAGTGAGAGCAATTCCCAGCATGGGGAGATGTCAGTGTTGTCATGGCAACAGATGAAGATGTGGCAGGATGGATGAAGCGGGTCTCAGCCTTGCCCAAGCTGGAGCCAAACCTCACCTGTGGTTTTGAGCCTCTCACCTCAGGAGCTGAACTGTGCTGCTCTCACTGTGAGAGGTGGGAAAAGGAGTAGCTGGCCTTGGGGGGTGAATGTGAAGAGGTTTTTATAAGCCTCAACACAATGCCCCTTGTTCTGCCCCATTTGAAGTGTTTTCTGCTGGTGACACAAGGCTGAGCAGGGATCTGCTGGTGATGGCTGCTGACAAGTGTGACTGTTCCTGTCTTTGATGGCTTAGGCCAGCTCTACTTCTTCCATTCTGCATTTCCACAAATGTCATCAATGCAATTTCTGTCAGCTCAGTTTGGTTTACCTTCTCTCCTCCTTGCATGTGTGATGGTGCCTACACACACATGGAAAACACATGGAAGCATTTGTTTAGCACCTTTCCTGAGCTACACTCTCCTTTTCTTAAGTTGGAAGATGTAAACAAGTGGCTAGTTTGCATTTGATTTGATTTGAATTCTGTTTTGTCCTTCCTTACAGCTTCTCAAATCCTCAGTTACACCTAGGGGCTGAGGGAGTGGTTTTGGCCAGGTTTTTTTTACTGTTTTTCAGTACTTGAGCAGCTTTAAGGATGGTTCTTGTTCTGCAGTAGTTCCAAAAGAAACCAAAGGGAAAATAAGAATAGACATTGGTGTAATTTTCATGTTCTGATAACGGACTTACGTGTCACAAGAAACACATTGCACTAAAATCTATTACAGAGAGGACCTGCATCTTTAAAGTAACATCAAGGTATATCATTAATTGACCAAACTCTAGGAAATCATCTCATCTCTGCAGGATTTGCTGTGCAGACACTCCTCTGTCTTTTTAAAGTTTATAATAATCAGTACAAACCTGCGTAATGACATTATACAGGGTTTCCTTTGATGCTGTTTCTAGATATTTTTATTCACACAATATTTCAGTCTGGTCGTAAAATAAAAGGTGAGTTACAAATTGTTCTTCAAGTTACATTAGGGTTTCTTTAAGAAAGAAAGAATGTTTTCATTATCCTTGCTGTGATAAACTTTTACGTGGATTATTAAATAGTTCTTTTGAAGTTTAAGGATGAACCAGTACCTTACTGATGTGCTTTGTTTTAACAGTTGTTTTGCCTGTGGATCAGAACTTTCTCACAGAGTTAATTTTATAAGGAATTGAAAATGTTCTTGGTATGGAACTGTACAAATTTAAAGTGGTGCTGAGAGGAAACAGATGCTGTACATCCATTTCAGGTCAGCTGCCAGAGATTTAAAAAAAAATTAACACCAGCAGATTTTTTTACTTTTCTAACAGTTTGTCTGAACATCACAGAGTGTTTAAGGCTCAGCCTCTGACTATTATCAGATGCAAATTTGCAAATAATCAAAGTGACTTTAATTAACCTTTTCTTAAGATGTAAGAATCTGAATTTGGTTATTGCTGGATGCCAATTCAGACTTCTGTCTAAATCTGTCAAACTAGTTGTATCAATAAATGATAAAGACTGTATTTTAGACAGGTGTAAACTGAATTATATAGGGAAACTAATTGGGCACAAACAGACAATCTGAACGCATGTTAAATGTCTAATATTACTGAGTATTTACAAAATTGTTTCCATTTGTTTGTGCATATATTCTAGCTGTCTCAATGAACTTTTCTAAGAGTGCTCTCCAAGGTACCTGTCATGAAATTAATCATCTGGCCTGTGTTCAGTACTGCAGTTCCCAAATGCCAACCCCTGTTTTTACAATTTCTTTCACTGTAGAATATAAGAATTCATTGATCACATTTGCATCAGTATAAGCTGCAGACTTAATCCTGAATTTGTTAAAGAACATCAAAGATATTGATCAAATAATCACTGTTTGTTGTTGTTCCATGACATGAAATAATAGCAGAAACAATTGAGAGAATAATTTGTATTAATATACAGCATGAACAAAGATAATTTGCAATTTTAATTAAAGTTCTTGCCATTCTACTTACTTAATAACTCTTGATAAGCACTTTTTACTCCTTTATTGTATTTGCTTTTGAGTAAATGCTTCATTTGCAGCAAAAGCAATAATTGGTCAAAAGTCTTTGCCCAGTTCTTAAGGAAGTGGCTTATTTTGGACCCTACTTCATCAGTATCACACCCCAACAAGTCATTATCTATTGAGACTCTGATATTGAAAATATTTCCAATTAAATTAGTGTTAATGCAAGTGTTCAGCAAATGCATCCGAGTCAGTGATTATCAGATCTCTGCTCAGATAACCAGTGAGGTCCCAGCTGGTGCTGTGTCACTGTGAGATGAGATCTGAGCCACCCCAGCACAGGGGAGCCAGCCTTGGACAGTGTGGGTGCCAGTCAGAGTCATGGGGAGGAGATATTTGAGCTACTAATGGGCAAGATTAATTTTATACATAATTGTAATTGTACAAGAACAGGAGAACACAGGTATTTCCCTTCTAGGCTGGAAATTAGAAGAATACTAAAAGCCATGCCAGTGAGTGAGTTTGCTCATAGTTCCCACTGTAAAGTTTGTAACCTGTTGATTTTGTTAAATCAAAGCCCAGCTCTTACAGTAAAATCAGGTAGGAATCAGTGTTGGCTTTAATACACAGCTGGCCAGGTAGGGATCTGTCATTTTGTTCCTGTTATAACAAAAGCAAGTTCCAAAGAAGCCTTTTATACAAAAGAGGGATGCTTTTGCTGTGATTTCCTGGGAAGATCACACATGTGAAGAAAAAAAATGAAAAAAGTAAATAAACGGAATCTTTAGAGTATGATTTAGACTTTTGATCCTTTCCTCCTCTGAATTTTCTCTGTTGTGACTGGGATCCATCAGACCACGATCAGGACTTTGATTGCATCAGTTTGAAATGTTGAAAGTGAACTGTCATTCCAAGAGCTCGTTTGTGTACCAGGGTTTTGGATGGCATAGCTGGGGGAGTTGTGCCCCAAGATCCCTCCTGGACAGTTTGTACAGTCTTGTGGCTGATAACTCAAAACACAGTTCAGTGCTAAATGTCACAAAAAGTGAGCTTGTAGTGTACCTAGTGACTGATCTTGAACCATGGCCCTTATTTTTTTGTCATGTATTTATAAAAAATGCACAGGAGGCCAGAAATAAGTAATTATTTATTTTGAAATGACGAGCCTATATATATATGCATATTATAAAGATTGCTTTCTGTGTCATAAGAGCTTTCTGACACATGAGATACTGAAAATCCATTTAAAAAACATTAGAACTACATGTCTGCACTCTGAGGTGTTCAGAGTGATCACCTCCATTTCTGTACCAGGATAAATTCTTGCTGCAGAAGAACTTTCAGAATTGTTCTTAAGCCCTTTCAAGACTTTATGTGTGAACTGTGACTAATCTCATGGCTTCCATCTGGAGCAGCTGTGTCATTCCTACTTCCTACCCCAGAGGAGTCTCAACTCTAGCTCTGAATTAATTTTTTTCTCTCTGGAAATTCTTTTCAATTGCCTTTTCTTTATTTTATTTTTTGACAGAACGAAGTAGTGTATGGCAGCATATTTTTTAAGAGATAGTATGCAGAAGGAAGTAATCACAATGCTTAAGAAGCTGTTAAAAATTCTTATTTGAAGAAAGCATATTATCTTTCAGCATTTCAAACCTTATATTTGCAAAATAATGTTTTCACTTGTAAGTATTCTTTTATCCAGCACTATTGTTTGATCAAGTTATCTCAATTTCCATGGAAATTTTTAGACTTTACTACACTCTATTCAAAGTGGGAAATTTTAAATTTCAGCTGAGTGTTACAAACACAGACAACTGTATGAAGATAAGATAATCAAGTAGCATAAATAAACAAGCATATGTGCGGAACTTGGTGTAAATTTACACAATCTGAGACTCTGGACTCGTACTGCTATGTGTGCAATCAAGTTACCATGAAATACACAGCGAGGTGAATTCAGAGTACTCTGGAACTCACTGTAATTCTCTTTGCATGCGTGACAAAAAGTAACTTGTTCTTTCTTCCAAAAGTAAGCTGCTATTAACACAACAATATAATCTACCTTTTTTGAATGTTGCAATAGTCTCTTCTCAGGGGTAGAGGGAAAAAATTTGTTAGACTCTTCTATAACAAGGCTATAAAGATAACTAATTTGTGTGCTTGGTTGCATTAACTTCAAATAATTTACATTCATTTTACACTGCTGATTATTATATTCTTGATTTTTCTCTTAAAGTGGCTGAATTAACTTGCTGCAGTGTCTTTTGTGCTGCTGCAAAGCCGACTTTGCATTGCCTTATGGCCCTGACCACCAGGCAGCTGGAAGGATGAGTAAGAGCAACCCAGGGAAAACAATACAATAATTTGTAAACTAAGAAGGATGTCTCACCTGTGGGGGAGGCTGGGAGGTCATCAAGAGCAGTGGCTGAGCTCACATAGAGCTGTCAGTGAGTATGAAATACCTGTTTTGGCTGGGAAGGTTTGGCAGAAGGAACGTGTCTCCCCCAGCAGGCAGCAGGGAGGGAAATCCCGGCCGGGATCCATCACTGGGGGCATCAGGTTTGTGTCATTTGGGGACCTGGACTGGGCTGCACAGGGTCATCAGGCCAAGAAGGTTTAAAGCCTCACCTTGCAAGGAAGGAAAACATCAAGCTGGCACAGTGGGAATGGTGAGCAAGACATCTTTGCTCAATCTGCAGTGCTGCAGCAGTGTTACAATCTCAGGTATCACAAACCCCACCTCTTCTCCTGAATTAATCTCAGCTTCAAGGGTCAGGATTGGTGACCACAAATCCAGACCACTGGATTTTTTTGTAAATATAAGTCCAGCGTTCTGGTGTTAGTAATTCTAGGTTTCTTGCTTTTTTAAACCAGCAAGTATTTTCAACATGATTTAGAAATGAAATTAAAAAACCCAACCCAAACCCATCATTACTGATATATGAAGCCAGAGAGTGAGTAGATACTGGTTGATCGCTAAAGAGAGAGCAAATGAAGATCTCAGAATGATAAAAGTTTGTGTGTGTGTTCCTGTTTGTGTGTTTGGGGTTTTTTGCTTTCAATAATGAGAAAAAATGTTTTAAAGAATATAGTGTTGCCAAAATTTTTAAAAACTTTTGCTGTCTGATGATTGTAGAAAACATTTTAACTCATTTAAAGTTACATCCATTTTCAGAAGGCTAACTGTAGAAATCTTGAAACTGGATTTTCAGAGACTATGATTATAATTTCAGAAAAATTAAGTCAGGATGTTTTGGATGATTCCATGTGTTGTTGGTGCTTAGTGTCTTCCACTGAAAAGTCATTAGAACTCTAGGTGAACTGCATATCAACCCGCCCTGCTTTAAACATTCCCTGTATACTGATCCATAACATTTTCATCTTAGTTGTGAAGGCAGCATAACAGGAAAGAAAAGCAGAAAGATCAACAGCAGAAGTCCTTTGTATGTTAAAAAAATATGTATATGCTGCTTGGCATAAGAGGTTTTATCCTGGGAATATGTTTGTAAGGCTTTCCAAGAGCTTGCTCCTTGGAGTTGTGCATGCAACAGAAAAAAAATAATGCATGCAGTTTGAGTTTTATTGATGTGATTATATGTTGTAAATAGTGGTGTACAACCTTGTAATATCCCTCTGTCTTATCATCACATTTTTTATGATATTATCTGGACTGCCTTCTGTCCAAATAAATTAAGCTCATCTCATCAGAGAGGATTGCAAGTCTTCTGTTACTTTGATCAGAATTAGCAGAAGATGTGTCAAGCCAATTACTCTAAAATTGGGCAGATGCAGAGCAGTGTGGTATGTCAATCACTTAGGGGGTTTTCTTTTAGTTTTACAACTCTGGCTCTGTCAGGGAAGCTCTTCCCAGTCTTTAAATTGCTGGATATTATTTCCTATTGCTGCCTTTTGTCAAGACTGTGCAATTGGAAGAAAACTGCAGCAGTTGTAAAATGTTGTGAGGCGCTTTATTTAGAATTACCACATTTAAAAGCTACTAACAGGGCTTGTTTAAACAAACACAGAACAAAGGAAATTTGCTAGTAAGCCTCATATTTCATTTTCATTTTTGTTTAATGATTTGGAGCTCATAGCTGATGAGATACATTGGGTTTGCTCTTGGGCTGTAGACCAAGTCTGAGTGCAGAGCTATTTTGTGTGTGCTGTGTGTCTGTGGCATCCTTGCTGTCAGAGCATCCCCATGCTACAGCACTGAAGCAGGATTGATGACAGGGCTCTTTATTGCAGCCCTTAGCACTAGATTGTTGAGATTAACACCTTGTCTGAGCAAGAGATTTCTCTGAAGGGCCTGCAATTCCTCCCCACAGTTACATTCAACAGAGAACCAGCAGCCAGTTGCTTCTCTCCCCAGAAGTTTTGTTTATATTTCAGCTTAGAAAGATAAAAGATTGCACAGATGATTTATTTTTTCTCTTTCTCTTTTTGACTTTTGATCTGTTTAGCAGAATTGTTTGTGTTCAGAACTTGACTGTTTAATTAAATTTGTGCAAGTACGGTGAATTTTCATTTCTTGGTGGTTTTTATTAATAGAGTATTAGTAATCCACTTAAAACTTGGAGATTTCCTGGCATTCCAGTAGCTGTATAAGTAGTAGAGCCACGATTTGCTATATTTTAATTGATGAGCTGAAATGAGTCAATTTTACTTGAATTACTTGGACTATTTCACTGCTTTGTGCAAATAACACAATTTTCCCTATCTGAGTTAGTTTAAATGTTAGTTTAATGTTACTTTGATTGTGACCCATTATAAAATATAAGGAAGGAAATAAGTGATAAAATCTGCCATTTGGTCTAACTGAATGAAAAAAGCAACATTTTCAGTCATCTCCTTATAACAAGTTACCTGACCATAGAAATTAGTTCTTAGTGTAACAATCTAAGTGATAAACTGCCACGGATTCTCTGATAAAGCAGTAAATTTAAATAAATATTGATAGGACAGTACTGAGATTAAATTATGAATAAACTTGCTGATTCAGAGTGACCACTGTTGCTTTGACATTTTGTAGGTTTCTAGGCAAAATGGACCAGTAAAATTTATGATAATTGTGGTAGTTTTCCAATTTCCCCTCTGTTCCAAAGTATCTGTTACTTTATTCCAATATAATCCTTCCAGGTGTGAATTTTGGTGCTTTGTCAATGTGCCTCATAAAGAAATTCTTGAACATACTGACCAGTAAAGGGAGAGCAAGTGATTTTGCATTTTAAAACTGCAGATTCTTAGACTGTGGGAACACCTCTGTGAGAATTTAAGTAGTTTATAATGTTAAATGGCAGAAATTGAACTCTCACTTGTTAAAATGGAAGATTTAACAGAAGGGTTTAATGGGGTGTGGAACACTGTGAAAAAGTATGTGGAGGTCCTTAGCATGAAATGCTGTGTGCTTAAGTTCTGAGAGCAGGTTTTCAGGCTCATACATGTTAAAATGGGCTGGAGAAATCTGGTCAGATGTCCTTTCTCACAGTCAATTGAGGTATCTAAATTTTTTCACATCAAAAAGCAACTTTAAAGTGGAATCTGTTTAAACATGTATGTATAACCAGGTTTTAAAGTTTCCCCAGTAAGTCACTTGGCTGTCTGTGATGGTGGATTCCTAATCTCCCTTTTTAAAAGGAAAAATCTCTAAGATTGTGCTGTATTCTGGCAGCCTGCTTAATTGTACTTGGCAGCTTGTTTTGGCTCTGGAGCTGCTCACCAGTATTCTAATTAAATAGGGGTGCCCTGATATGTGTCTTGTCTCTGAAATCAATAGGGATGATGAAAAGGGCTGTGAAGGCAACTAATTATCTCTCAACAACCAATGCTTTTCAGTTTGGATCTTCCCTGGTTTTCATATTTCTAAGTTTATTAAAATACTCAGAGAACAAACATTTAGTATGAGATGAAACCTCATGAGTGTGAATTTCCTCTGGCCATGTGCTCACACACCTTGTTCCATTCTTGGCAGGTTCAGGAGAGCCATATATAGAGAAATAAATATAAATCTATTTATACATAATATAAATCTCCGGCTTTGGTTTTGGTCATGGTGTGCATGGGCTGCAACCAGGAGCAGCCTTAGGTCTCTAAATCCCAAATGTAGATGTGAAGAGAATTTATTCTATTTCTGTTTATCTTCCTCAAGAACAGCATTGCAAGACAACCACCTGTGAGTTAAGGGAGGAATCAGACAAGAGTATCAAGGAAAATGCCAAGCAAATATCTTCTTTTAGCTTCATAAAAAAATGGAACACAGATAGGTGGTTATACTAGAAATATTTTTAAAAAAAAGTTTCAGCCTGCCTCAATGTTCTCAGATGCCTGACTTTGAATGTAATTTTTAATAGCTCTTTCTTATAATTTTTTTGGTGTATTCATTACTTGATGTCCAGCTGACAGTTTTGTATGGACTCCTTTTTCTCTGTTCCAAATTCAGAACTTTTCAAAGGGAGCTAAAATGAAGGATGCTTAAAATAGTCACCTTTGCATTCATGGCTCCACTGCATTTGTGTTCTAGAGGTTTCAGCAGGACGAAACCAAGCTTAAAAACCTATCAGTAGGGGTAAAGTAGTCATATCCATTTCAGTAATTATAATTACAGTGTACTAATGCAAGTTAAGGGACAATGCAGAATCATTTTCAAAATGAATATTCTTTCCAGTACTTAATACACTTCTGAAGACGTGCTGTATTTCTCTATAGAAGGAAAACTGCTTTGATTTTCAGAAGTCTGTTCAAATACTTTTAGTATAAAAATAGTCTCTCACAACTGTTGAGCTGTGGGAATGCCATAAAGCTCCTCCAGATTGTTTCTAATTGGGGTAATTTTCCATGGGTAAAGTTTGCAGTTCTCAAAGTGAAGGCTTTGACAATGTGAAATATAAAAGGCAGGTCATAGTAGGACACACTTTATTGAAATAGAGAAGATACTGATGGTGCCTGCTGTCACTCTTTGCAGAATTACTCCATTTTTTGTAGGGTAAAATGATTTTCCCTGTGTGTAACCCCCTGGACTATGGAAGCATTTGCACCCTGTTTTGGAGACAGAATCCTGGGACATGTGGAAGGGTTGGCAGTAGGGTGTGTAGGACGGTGTCCCACCTGGATCTACCTGTCTTTTCACACAGTTACACTCTCTCTTCAGAGTCCACTCCTTCTGGATTATTAAATTATTCCATGATTATTATAATTATTAATTTAATTATTAAATTAATACTCTGAAACTGGAACTCCAGCACTTGGACATTTCTGATATATTTTTTTCTAGTCTAAATCTAGCAGACTTCAAATTGAGCACCTTTGCATAATGAAGCCAGTAGGCTTCTTTACAAACAAATAACCCTGTCAGGGGCAGGGGATGCAGTACTCACTGATTATGCTCTTTCTTTGAAGTGTGCTGTGCTTCTAAATAAAAGTTATTAACAATATTTTTTTCTTACAGAGACCAATATACAGTCAGTAGCACAGCCAGTTATATTCTTACATTTATTGTTGGCTGTGCTGCAGTTACCCTGATTCCTTGCATATAAATTCTATGTTAATACATCTGAGCTTTTGTACAATATCTGTCTTTAATTATCTTTTTGAAAGGATCTCTTCATCTTTCTAATGTGACCACAGGACAGGAACTTACCAAAACCTGAGAATAATGGCAGTGTTTCATCTCTTTGATTAACAATTCAAAACTTTCAGTGATTGGTAAAAATGTTTAATCTGTGTCCTAGCTGTTACAGGTTTGAGGATGCATGAATTGGTTGAATCTCTATGAAGATTCCAGAAGCCCTTTAGGTCAGTTAAGGGTCTTCACCTCAGTGTCCTGGCTTATTCTGTTAATTTTGTTTTAAATCAACTGGTCAGACCCCCAAAACCAGGTTATTTTCTTTTGTGCTAAGTACAACCGCAATGCTTCTCTTGCCTCCAGTCAGTGAAACAAAAATAGGGAGAAGTTTTGTGTTTGGAGAGTCTCCCAGGTCATTAAATCTAGATAACCCTTGTCTGGAAACAGCAAGTTACAAATCTTGGCCAGAGGGCTTTAGGAACAGCTGTTGAGTGCTTCTGATATCACCCAACATTTGTGGTAATTTGTAGCTTTTTTAGCCATGGTACCACTCCTTGTCCCAGTTCAGGGTCAAAGAGCTTCCTTTGGTTTTGGAAGCTCACTCCAGGCTTGAAATTACAAAACTCATAGATTGTAGACATAAGCTGCAAAAACCTCCCTGGTAAATGTTCAGTTACAAGCATTTGCAACATTCTAGGCCATTTCAGTTGTTATATTTGGAGATGGGGCATCAATAATACATAGTTTCATTAAAAGACAATGTGCTTTAATGTCATTGCAGTAAGTTATTTTGGGCATTTCAAGTGACCCCATTTGAAATACAACAGATGAAAGTATGCACCTGTATATTCAGTTTCAGAGAGTTTGCACCATGTATCTAGCTGTTTTTTTATAGACCTAAAAGTTTTATTATTTCTATTCTGAAATGCCAACATATGCATTTAGTATCCTGATAAAGCTCAACTGGAGCTGTAACATATGGGCCCTCCTTTAGCTCCGACCCCCTGGAAAGCCAAAACGAAACAAAAAGACCAAGTCCTCCTTTGCTCTGATTTATTTGTGTTCTCCTTTTTTTTTTTTTTTTGAGATATCTTGTTTGAAAACAGAAGGTTGGCACCTGAGAGAGGAAGCACGGGCGTGTGTGAAGCAGTGGGATGCCAGACAGGAGGGATGCTGCTCTCTCCTGTGCTTTGCAGAGCACTTGCACATGCTGGAATATTGCTCCTGAGCAGCCCTGGAAATTGCTGCTAACTCTGCCTGATGGGAATTGCCTGATTTCTGGCTTTACAAACAGCTTTCCCTAAAGAAATGGTTCCTGGTGTTCATCTCTAGCAATGCTGGGAAAGAATGCCATAGAAAAAGGACAGCTCTGCTATAGCTGGCTGACCATTTATTAGTGCTCTACTCACTGAAGGGTGGCAGGGAAAGCTTGCTGTAGTAGAAGATATTTCAGCAGCTGTTAAAAGATATCCCAGACATTTTTTTCTTTTTCTGAAATCAGGGACAGATTTACCATCAGTGCCTGTGTGTCTCTGTCATTCAGGGGCTTTATACCAGGCTTCTTTATATCACTGCTATGCTCAGTTTGCTGTGTGTTGCAGCTGGGTCACTGTGTTCTCCACAGGGGTAATGTTTTCATCATTTGGGAAGTTATCCTTTGTTTTCTGTAGTAGGATTATTTCACAGTTCAGGATTGGGCAGTCCTCTGGGTTTGCCCACTCTGGCCCTTTTGTGGGACATGCCAGGGGAGGCCTGGCTGCTCCTTTGGTGGCAAAAGGAGAGGTAAAAATAAACAGAAGTGAATCTGCAGCCTAAGTGAGGTTTAGCTCTGGACTGTTTTGCCATTCTTGGTTCTTTCTATTGCTGAGCACCATGGTATAATGGATAATCAGTTTCAAATGGAAACAAAAAACATGTAAGCAAAGGGAGTTAGAGGAGAACTGACATTTCTTTTCAAGAACTACAAAAACAGGTGTTAAAAACTTGTATAATTGAAACATTAAAAATGAAACACTTAATATAGAAAATACTGAAATCAGCAATAATAATAATAGTAATAAATAATGTTAAAAAATCTGCTAACATGTGAACAAACTGGAAAGAACTGTTTAAATTAAACTCAAGGGAAAACCTTTGAACAAAGTCCTGAAACTTTCTTCTTCTATTATAATAATAAATGAGGAATACATTCAACTTATATATGCTATTGTATCTCGCTGCAGAAAATGAAATTCTGGAAGTTTGTAGCTGCTAAAGATTTGACCATGGCCAAACAAACATGCAAAATAATTAACTGCATAATAGACAAGGAAAGACAATTATTCCTGGAAGGTTTTACTACTACCAATAGCAAAATTTCTTGCCTTACTGAATCGGCAAAGATTTTTTCAGGATACCTTGAGGATTTTTTTGTGCTTTCTTGGCCTGAGAGTGATGCCCCAAGCAGTGGCAGAGCTGAAGAGTTGATGTCTGGTCTAGAGCCTTGTTCACTCAGTCCCAGAGCTGAACTTCCCCAAGGACTGAAATCTCCCAGGACTCTCCTGCAGTTCATTCTGCACAGCATTGCTGTGACACCTTTCAGGCAGGTGGAAAAATGAACCCTCTTTGAGACTTCTCTAAAATTGATCATGAATTCTAATGAGATGAAGATCCAGGTTTGATGTGCATGAAGTTAAGACTTCCCTTGGTAGATACATCACAGTATAATGGTACTGAGCAGAAATGAGGGCCTTTAAATGATGCAATATAAACTGAGAAAATGAGCCAAAGGTTTTGTATAGATAACGTTTTTACACTTTTGCCAATTACTTTGGGATAGAAAAATGGATCTAGAAGGATGACACTGATGGATAGCTCTGGATCTACCCATGAAGATAAGGTATCTGGTAGACTTGTGTCTCAGATACTGAATGTGTGGCAGCCATTTGTCGATGCTGATGCAGAAATTTAATGCATGTGCATAAAAATCCTTAAATTTTTCTCTACTAGAATTTTGGAGAAGGGAGAAGGCACCTGAGGCACCTGTTGATTTGAGTCAGTAGCATTTTTAACAAGTATTAACATGATCAGATATGTCTGCTCTTTGCCTTCAGTTGTTGTGAGGGATTTTTAGAAAATTACTGCTTACTTGTTTTTCTCTATTTGGAAGGGATTTATTTTGAAAAATTTGTTTAACATTAGTTTAGATGTTTTACCAACATTAGGCAATGACAACAGACTGTATTTCAGTCTCACCTGTGATTCAGCAGAACTTCCAGTCCTCTTGCTTGTGACTGTACAACCTGCAAGATCTGCATTGTAATATATAGAGACAAAAACCCACCACTTTCAGCAGTGTTCAAGTTGCCTGACTGATTTCTGCCAAGTGCAGGTCATGTGCTTTTGAAGCCTTGGTATTTTATGTGCTGACATCCAAGTGTGTCTTTCAGAAAGTCTAATTTCAAAGGAAACATGATGGAGTTATTGTCCCATCTAGAGGAGCTGCCTAAAAATAATTTTTCACTTTCTGAGTGGGTAAAAGGAGATTTTTATTACAGATGGAGGAGCAGTTTTTATATACCATCTCTCATTTGTAGTCAGACTCATCCCAAAAGTTTTGTTTGAAATACCTGTAGTCAGTGCTAATTTTCTATCCTATTTCTTGTCTCCTAGCTTTGTACAAAAAGGCGCCAGGGAGCCCTCCCAACACAGGGGAGGAAATGAGAGTCCCAGGGTAACTGCAGGGTCCTCACCCTGGAACAAATTTGAGCTGGATTAAACCTGCCAAGGTTGGTGGCAGACTAGATGTCTGGAAAGTGAAATTGAAACTATTCTGTGGAGTTAAGGCCCTAGTTACATGATTTCTCTCTGAGGCACATGAAATGAATAAAACCCTTATTTTGTAGAAGGTGTAGGAAATAGGCTATTTTTTTTATAATTTGGAATCACTTTGAAAGAGGTGAAGGAATTCCAGCAAAACCTGACCTACAGGCCAGCAGGGTTCACAAATTGATATTGCTGTGCAGGTGGAGACAGAGGTAGATTTGTTGCTTACTGTGCTGGCTCTATTTTTAGCTTCTGATTGCTTGCAAGTTCTGTTTACAAATGTCAGGAAAATGCATTAGGATTATCTGCTTTATTGTAGAGGTAATAAAACGTTGTCCAATTTAGCCAATAAAACAGCTAAAAGCAGGCTCCCACTGTCATGGCAGTGCAGCTGCTAAATGTGGCCTCACAGTGGTTTTATGCTGCCTGCTCTGTTCTTTCCTCATTTCTTGTTTCCCACCATTGTTGTGGCTCAGTATGGAGATTAGGAATCTCTGGGGGGTTTTATTCCCATCTGGGAGTAGCTGAAAATGCACTTTGGGAAGAGGGAAGGAGAGGGATCAGCAGAAGCTCTGTGGCCCATCCCTGCAGTGCCCTCCTGGAGCCCAGCAGTGGCACTGGAGGTGTAAGGTCCTCAAGTATTCCTCTGCCCAGGGCTCTCAAATGCTTGGCTGCTAAGAAATCCCTCCCCAAGAGTCCTTTCAACTCCAGTCTGGAGTGGGAACCAGTTGTTTTTAGTGGATGTGGTTGGTCTGGTGCAGCCTGTATTGGCTGATGCCCTGTAATCCAGTATTAGAGCTGCTTTCACTGCCACAGAACCTGTATTCAGGGACAAACATCCTGTTTAAGCTGGGATGACTTACTGGGGGGCTTTATGACTGTACTTGCCACTAGAAGTATAAATGTGCTTAATTCAGGGCTGAAGGTGCTTTAACATTGTAATTTGATTCTGAAAGAAAAGGATATGTGTTGTTTATTCCATTAGAAAACCAGTATGTCAATAAATAATATAGAAATATGTCTTTCCAGTGCTTAAAAGGTCTTTATTACCTTTATTATGGCCTTCTACCACTAAAAGTTAGTGTTGTAGGATGCCAGTACTAGTCATATTCACTAATTAGCAATAAGGTTTGAGCAGAGTTGTGACACTGTTAGTTAATACTTGTTTTTCATTGCTCATTGCTGATTTAGGTGGCTCAAGACAAACAGATTGTGTGTTACTGCTGTGATAGAATACATAAAATAAAAATAGTTCTCATGCAGAATTCCCTGTGCTTTAAATATACCAAATATATTCCTTCAAGCATCCTTAAGGTGTGGAACTGCTATCTGTATGCAGTTCATCACCAGAGAAATTACATATTCATTTTTAAAGGAACCATACAATTAGTTTCAAGTCTGGATGTGAGTTAGGAAAAAAACCTGGCAATTTAGTAAAAACTGAGGAGTTAATTCCACTAGAGGGGTAAGCTAGAAATAGGAGTAAATGTGTTGCTTTGAACTGCATCATATGGAAGCAGCAATGACAGGAACATTGCAAGTTTCTATGTACCTGTGAATCCCCATCATTTTTTTTGCAACTTCTGCTGATTTTGAAACTATATGCCTCTGAGGAGGCAGACAATGAAAATTTGATAGGCAATATATTATTATGCAGTGAAGTGTTGAAATTTGCAGATCACTGGCAAGTCTGACCAAGAAATATAGCTTCTTTTTTTTTTTTTTTCCCTAGGGAATGAAGTGTGGGAAATTATGGTTTAAAATGAGAGGGAAATATAAATCTACACTGTTTCAGTACTCTTCATCTTTGAGAAAATTGGAGTCTGGAGAGGAACCTTGATGACTTGTCTTTGTGTTTTGGCCAAATGTAATGATAAAGTCCAAATATTTGTGACATCTGGCTTGCTCGTGACCACACCTAGGTCTTAGATTCATAACAAAAGGGTTTTTTTCCCAAGAATTTAATTTCTGTTTATCCAGATAAGTGCCACAGAACTGCAGCTTGCTGTTAACTGAAAAGAACAGTCAAATCATAGCATCTCTCTTCTGCCAAGCTGCTCTAATGAACACTGAGAATTAGATACTATGTTTGTCAGTGTAACATTGACAAAGTCATTTATGAGTCTGGTTTTTTGATTTATTTGGTTTTTTTCCCTATAAAAATGTGTTCTTCTTAAGTTAGCTGATACCTGTTCATATAAAAGTAGTCAAATCAGTCCTTGTAGACTTTATTTCAAGCTCTCTTAATACTGCAGCTGCAGTTCTGTGGGTTTATTCAGGGAGCAGAGGTTCAGGTGGCCTTTCAAAAAACACAAAAAAAGCAAGAAGGATGGAATGCTCAGTGCCTGAGAGCTTGCCTGGGCTTGCTGTGACCCTGAGAGCTGCATTTGGTGAAGTCCTTTCTCCAGGAGACTCCTCTTCCTGCCTTCTGCCTGCTTGAGGTATTAGTTCTGGCTTAGGCCTTCCTAGAATTGGAAACTGAGGTGATGAAATTAAGATGTGAGGAGTGAAATTTTTTAAATTGTAGGCTTTTTTTTCCCCTAGGTGTTAGCATATTTTCAGTCCTGGTTATTTTTTAGAAGGTACTATATGGTCAAAACGTGGGCTGCTCAAAACTTTTCCTGCTGATATTTTTTTGTTGGAAGCCACCAAAATGATGGGATCAGAAGCATTTCTTGGGGCTGTGTGAGTTACCCTGGGGCTTTTTGCCTAAAAGTTGGCACTCAAGAAGTCTCAGTGGGCCTGTGTGGTTTTTTGTCATCCACTTCAGGTGGCCTGAAACTCCTGGCTGGAGCAAGGAGCACCTTGAGATGTGTGAAATTTTCTGAGAATTTGATATTGTAGTTTCAAAATGTTTTTGTTCATATCTAAAACACAGCTTGTTTTATGAGCAGACTTTCTGGATGCAGCTCAATCTTCCCAGTTTCAGTTTTGGAAGAAATCAGCATTCTGACCATTTCCTGTGGCACAAGGTCTTTTGTAGACATTTTAAGTGTTCTAGTGGGAATTGGGTGAAAGTAAATCCATGTGTTAAAACTGGTTTTGTAGCTCTTGAACAACAGAAAAAGAAAAAAAATGCAAAGAAATTTAAAGTGATTCTAAATGATCTTTTCTTTCCTCAGCTGTCTCCGTAATGAGATACAGTGCATCATCCTTTGGATTTGCTGTAAGTAGAGATACAATTGAAATATTGTCTACTCTTTTTTTTTTCTTTTCCAAGGGCTTTATCTGAACATGAAATACTGCATTTTTTCTTATGGTAAGTTGATGGAAAGGTGTGCAAGGTCAATAATGGATTAGAAAACATATTGTTGAAGTTAAGCATTGGAAAGGGTGGTAAAGATACTCTAATTACACCTTCTCAGTTTCTGCCCATTGAGTCCTATCCTGGAGTTAAACCTCATGCTTATACCTTGTGGTTGATAGATGTCATCCAACAGATATGTTTTTCTTATACAAAATCTCTCAACTAAAAATCAGTTTGGTTGTTGAACTTGAACCAAATTCTGAAGTTTTCTTCTGAACTGTTCCCATTGAAGCTGATGGTAAGACTGCTCTTGACTTTGGGATGGCAGCTTTCCTCTCCAGTCCTTGCCATGACTTTCTGGATTAGTGGCAGAGCAAAAAATTCCTAACGACAAGCAATGACTCATATCAAATAATTTATCTTTAGCTTTCAATTTTGAAGGTCGGATTGACTCTGCAGGAAGTTTGACATGAGAATGAAAGTTCTTACTGAGGGACAAGCCTGGTTTTCAGTGTTCCTGACACCACATCTGCATTAATTGGGAATACAAGCATGGCAATTTTGCTGATGATATAGAATAATAAATTCATATAGGATGAAATCTGAGTGGGATTTTGCAGAAAAAATTAATATTTTCTTGGTTGGAAACAAAAGCTATTGGCGGAAATTAGTGACTGCAGAAAAAAGGAGTGCTTGACAGGCATTTTTCTACTCTTGTCTTTGCATTAGGATCAGATTAGTATTTTAACTCTTTAGGTGCTGCAGTGGCAGGCTGATGTTTGTTTTTTTCTTCTTCACAGGTGATAGTTTAAAGGTTCAGTTTTTTTAATCCTTTGATTAACTTTCTGAACTCTGAAATGTATTCAAAATACATGTTTTGCCATGTATTTTGCCATAATACATGGCAAAAACGCGAAGATCAATTCAATAAACGTAAATTGTGCTTTCATTAAAGTGATTTCTTTGAAGCTGCTTCGTGCCTGTGCAGCAGGATGGTAAATGCATTGAATGGCCCACAGAACAATTGGCTCTGTCTCTCTTGCAGTTTGATGCCACCCTGGATGTTTTGTCATCGGCGATAGTTTTGTGGCGTTACAGCAACGCGGCCGCAGTGCACTCTGCACACAGGGAGTACATGTGAGTACACTTCTTCCTTCTGCCTGGGGCGTGGGCCTGCAGAGCTCTTGGTGTCAGGCTGGGAGGCTACAGATTCCAGAGCTTTGACAAAAACATTTTCTCATGTCAGCAAGTATTCTTGCCTTCTGTCAGCTGCTCGCTCCCAAACACGCAGCCTCTCCTTAGACAAACCTCCCTGTGCTTGTGATTTTAAGTTTCTTTTTAGCCAACATAGCAATGGTTAGGCCTTTGCAATTTGTTTTCCCTTGCAGAACCTGTATCAAGTGAACTGTATCTGTAGTAGATTTGTAAATCTTTCATTTTGCATCTCATTGAATTATTCTTACCAGAGTAAGTTTTTTGATATTGATGCTTGTATTATGTTTGCGCTTCTCTCAAGAAGTTTGAATATGAATCACTTTAATTTTTTTAAGAGTAAGAGTATAACAGTGATTCTTATCTTCTTTATGCTTACTTTGCAAGCAATTTTTTTCCATATTTAATGTTTGATGTGTATAGCCTATGGGGGGAAAAAAAAGTCTTTACATATGCAGTGCAGTATTGATCACAGTGGGAATTGTGTTCTGCATCATTGTGCAGCATTTCTATTGGTAGCTGAGAAGATCAGGTGGAGATTGAATCAAGAATTTTCCCAAATAGTGCATAAAAAAGATTTAAAATTCCTACTCAAATTTTGGGCATCTAGGTAGAGAATTGCAGTACATTTGCCTGTTTTTGGTTTTTCTGTGAACTTCCATTGCTGGCAGCATCCCATCTGGCTGGAAAATAATTCAACTGTCCCCTGGAATGGACTGCAGTTTTACAATAAAGGGGGATAAGGTAGGTTCTGTGCTGAAACACCTCTAATGATGTCCCTTTAATAAAGGGTAACTTGATGAAACTGAACATTGCATAACTGGTAGGATAAAAAAAAAATACAGAAAACCAACAGCAAAAACCACACTGAAGCATCTCAGTCACATCTTCACAATCTTTTTCTAAAAACTAAGGAAAAGTAAGCGGTATTTTTACATGCCTTAGCTCAGGCTCATGCAACAGCTTGCCAGGCCTGCGAGCTCCTTTCTGGCAGGGCTCCATACAGAACAGTTTGGAATAAAAGGCCATAAAGGACTGATGTGGCATTGATTCATAAAAATAAATTCAGAAAAATGTGATTAAAATTAGTCTTCCTGCACAGATTTGGAGATTTTAACAGACATTTTCTTAGTATCTTGCTTTTGTGGGTGTCCACAGAGATTCCTGTCAACATTCAATTAACATATTTTTGAAATCTTCTGTTGTGCTTTTTCAAATGAACCTTATAAAGTATTTAAAATAGAAAATAAATCCCAGTACAAAAGAAGACTTAACAAATCCCTGTGGTAAGCCAATAAAGTGAACAGGCAAAATAGTAAACATATTTTCCTGTTTTTTTATGCTCATTTTTAATTTGCTTTCATATAACCTCTCTGCTTTAATGAGGCTGAATTAAGTCAGTGAATTACTTGCCATGCTCAATAGTTGCAGACAGCTAGGGTTTCATGATGAGTTCAGTATCAAGTGAAAGAATGTTCCCATATGCTGGGAATATGAATCACTGGATAGTCAGCCTGGTTATCCCTGTTTCCAGAGCTGACAGGAGAGCCACCACAGTACTGACAGCAAAGAGATGGTGAGATGGTTGTGCTGCTTAAGGCAACTCTTACTGTGTCAGATTTTTAAGGGTGGAACACAGCTAATTTCCTGTTGTGTTTAATCAATCTCTAGCTTGAAACACTGCACATAATTATTATTCCTCCTTGACGCTGGGAAAATGTTGCAGTGATGCTTGCTGGCTGCTTGCTCAATTTGTGAATAATCTTTGCATCATATCTGCCTCTAACTCCACCTGGTCTGCCACAATCCCTGTTTTCTGTGGGCCTCCTCCCTCAGACTCCTGGATGGTGTGGTGCAAATTTGTGTGGGTGCTTAGGCTGTGTTGTGTGTTATTCCTGCTTTTGTGTGCCTGGTCATATTCTGCCTTAGTGCAGGGGTCTGTTTACCAGAATAAGGTGTGCCAGAGTAGCTTCAGTTTAGTTCTTTATTTATAGGTCTGTCTTTTATTGGTTTAAATATTACACTTGTCTGTGTATCCTAACATATCTGAAAAAAACCCTTATCTCCTTGGCAAAAGGCAAGTGGAATTGCCAATTAATTGTTTTGCAGATTTATAAAACTTTCTGTTTCATGAACTTGACAGCAAGAGATTGATCCAAAATCTGTTAAAATCATTGTAAAGCCTCTCATGGGAAGGCAGTGTTAGATTCAGTCCTAGCTCTTGGACGTCATTGAGAGAGAACATAGACTGAAAAACACACCCCCAGGAAAAGGCACAGAGAATACAGCCTGACTCATGATGTGCTATGAATTAAATACTGAGAATAAAATGCTAAGATGTGAAAGAAATGCGTAGTCTTACTTAAGCTGGAGCCATATGGCAGTTGGAGCTGCAGCATTCCATGGGCTGGCACTCCCAGGAGTACAGAAGTGCTTGCTGTGCCAAGTTCTGCTGAGAGGAACCAGTGCATTTCCATTTGACTTCAGGGGGACTGGAGTGCTGAAACCATCATGCAAATGTGTCCTGCTGAGCTTAACTCTGTTTAGTGCATTTCATTTTTATTAGATCATTTGATTTCTCTTGTTTTCTGGGGTGAGATGAGAAGGTTCTTTATCAGAGTTCATCCCTTTGGTTCATCCCTTCGGTTCATCCCTTCCCTCCAGGGTGTCAGCCACAACACACAGCTCAGAAGAGGCTGAACCCTTGGCAGTGGCACCAGCCCTGTAACCATTTGTTGATTCTCCAGATTCAGCCATCTCAAATCTTTCTGCTTTGACTGCGAAGACTGATGAGAAAACTCCTTTTGCCCCAGAGTCCTTTACTGCCACTTCTAGAGCTCTGTCACCCTTCCTGCTGCTGCTCAGACTGCTCCTGGATTGGTGCCCACATGAAATAAAAGCTGAGGCTAAAACATTCACCAAGATCGGGAATTAAACCACTGCAAGGTTGTAGGCCCTGAGATACTGCTTGACTCTGCCTAGCTGCCTCATTAATGAAAGAGAATGTGGGAGTGGGATGAATATTTGATGTTTTTTAGAAGGGTCCTTGAAAGAATTGTAGGTCTTGAGGCAATGCAAGAGTTGGGAAGGAGTGCAGATATCTGGGAAGAGAGTCAGTACATGAATAGTTCATGAGTACTTGATCTGCTCAGTGTGATCTGCTGGGTTGTAAATTAACATGCAGGAAATGTAAAGGTGCTGAACAAGTCATCAAAAAAAAGCAATGATCAAGGAATTAAAGAAAGAAAAGAAGTGCTGAAATAACTGGAGAAATAATTTGAAATCTCCACTAAAGATGAAAATTTACAACTGAAAATGGCTGAGGCATTTAAGATGTGCAAAGAAATGTCAGTGGTCCACCTGGCTGCTCTCCATAACCAGTTTACAAACACCTTGAATATTCTGCCCTTTAGTAAACCCTTAGCAACTTGGTAGCTTATTGGGTTGCTGAAGCAAATATAAATCTATTGAAGGAAGAACTTTATTGACACTGGTTTGGCAACAGTGGTTTTTCATGTGCTTAAATAAACCCAGTAAATAGCTGAAAGAAGATTCCTATTAAGAAATTTCTTAATGGAAGACTGGAGAAAAGTCTCATGAGATGTTGAACTAGTCACTGGCTATACAGCCAGGGGCGGCTTTTAGCTTGTGTTAAATTCAGGAATGCAGGACTTGGTTGGAGTACATCAACTGTGTCTGAGGAGAAAGTGAGAAATACCACCAAAAAAAAAAAAAAAAAAAAAAGGATTGGAAAAACAGAACCACCAATAAACTATATGTACACAGCCTTGTGGGAAAACTTTAAAAACCAGAGTATTTTCAGCACAGTTGGTTGGAAAAATCTTGCTTTTCTGTACAATGCAGTACAAGGACCCAGGATCTGCCTATGCCTGTGGGATCTATTGATTTCTGGGATTTTTGGCTACTGGTTTTTTTATTGCAAAACCCAACTCTGTACAGCATACTTAAACCAGTGATTCTTGACAGTTGCAGCTGGTGTTTGCTATATATTATTTTGTTGATGGTATCAAGTTAGATTCTGTGTTTCCCAGGAACCAGTCTGTCAACATCTTTCTTAACCCAGTGCCAGAGTAAATAGGAATCCTGACTCATAATGAACATTCTGGATTATGGCAAGAGCAGAAATCATACATTTCTTATGTTTCTTTCACTGTTTTGGTGTTGTGGTTTTGTTTGTTTGTTTCCTTTGGGTTTTTGATTATGTATTTCAGACTCTGGCTAATGCATTCCTTAATTACTTAATAAGAAAATTAAGTTATATCATGGACTAATCATTTTAAACACACTTGTGGTGCTCTATGTTGCCATGACATAATACATAATGATGCAGATATGTCCTTTCTTTTTTTCTGTTGGTGGAGCTGTTGTCTGAAACTTGAGCGGTAACACTAAAATTACAGGAATTAAAATCTACAGTGTTGTAGACATGGGTGCAGATATGTCATACCTCCACCTGCTTCTGAGAAAGCTGTTTGCCAGAAGAAGAGAGTCATTTTGCAATTACACATTACCTAAATGCTTTGCTATGTGCATGTAACTTAATCTTCATCTCCACACCTCAGCTGTGGCTGTGGATTTGGTACCTTCAGGATGCTGAGCCCATTTGCCCTGTGAAGTATTCCTGTTCTGGGGATTTTCTTCTTAATGGGTTCCTAAATTATGGGGAGGAAGAACTGGTGTTCTCACCTGTTTTGACATTCAGAAGAACACAACTATAAGATCTTAATCCAACAATTTCTTATTTAGCTTCTTAAATAAATCTTAAGAAAAGAAAGATATTTGATTGCTCCTCATCAGAAATTACCTGAGAAATCACATGAGAAAATGTGATGAGACCCTAAGACAGAGAGAGCCTCTCCCTCCAAAGTAATTGTAACCCTTTTTTCTCTCCAGCTCATGTTCAG